AAATTCAATAAAAATAAATTATAATATTATTTCAATAATAACGATTTACGATAATATAATAATAATTATTGTGATACAGACAAATTGTTTTGGGTTACAGACAAATTTCAAAAAATAAAACCTTGTTTTTGTTTATAATAGTTGATAATTAATTATAAATCTCTTATCGTAGTTTATTTTAGTATTCTATACGGGCGGACGACCTTTGTTCATGTCTCATAAACACATTTCCTGTTAACTTAATTATCATCTTTATGACTATGCTGTGAATATTTCGATTTCGATACACTGATACACTCCACGCTATCTATTGACACATTGTTTTATTATTTAATATGTTTCCAAATTTTTGTATGCCGTGAGCTATCTATACTTATTTAATCAATGATTAAACCTACCGGTGAATTACGGTCGGCAGTGCGTTGGGAGTGCCCAACTGCCCCACAGCAGCCGAAACTTGCTAATCGGTTTTCGATTGCGTTTTGCCGAGTGTTGAGATTTCTTATGGAATTTCTAATGTCGACAAGCGCGATTTCGATTGACTCAAGGCGATTTTCGATACTAAAAAGTTTTACTTCTCGCCGTATTTGAGCACCGCTGTTCGAAATTTGGAGGCCCAATTGCTGTGCCGTGTCGGAATAGTGTTGGTTAACCGGCAGAGAGTTACGGTTCGATAGCCGCGAACTGTTATTCGATCCGCAAAATCCATCGGCGTCCGCCAGTCTGTCACTCTGGCGGGCTGTTAAACAAATATTTCGCACCTCATCGTCTATATATCCGTCCCTAGAACCAACTACCGAATTGTTGCAACACTCCGATCGGTGTTCGAAGGCCCTAGGTAGGGAACACAGTGTATTACGCGGGAACGTGGTCGAAACGGGCAACAAAAGTGTGTGCGGGTCATACCCGTCGTTTTGAATGCGCTGTTCGAGCCTAATGATTAAATCATTCTTTGTACCCGCACTAGAAATATCACGTAACTCGCACTCCGATTCCGCGATGGACATTGGAAACATAGTTTTCGAAACACTCGACATCGTGTTTTTGTTATTGTTGATAATTTACCACAATCAACAACGATGCTATCACACGAGCGAATGATATTAATTTCAAGTACGATAACCGAATTCCGATAACAACGGCGGACGCGATTCGAAGCGTGATGCATATCGCGTGCATACGAATTGTAGAGACGACTAGTGACGACCGGTCGAATGTCTACGCATGCGAGAACGAGAACGGCGGGTACGGCGTTCACGTGCCGTGAAAATGAGTTAATTGGATGTGATATCGTTCGGTAACAACCGAAGACTCGCAAATCCCGATTAAAGGTCTATTCACACTACAACGGAACGGAGACGGGACGGAACCGTGCCGGAATTTCATCCGTCCGGGTCACCCGTTCTGTTGCGTTCACACTAAACGGAACGGACAGGGCTAGATTAAATAGATAACGTAAAATCAATATGACTAAAGATAGCAACTATTATTATTAAATATTTAATGAACTTATTTTCAAAAATGTAAGTCATTTGTGTCCTAACGTGTCAGTTGTAAGCACCTTATTTCTCGTTTATTAAACATCGAAAATGGCTAATTTTTCTAATGAAGAGCTGACGATGATTGCATTAATATTAGATGAAGAAGAATCCGAAAAAATAAAAAAGCAAACAAGAAATCTGTGGGTACATCCAGCTTGGCAGAAGCGTTCTGTCGAAGGCGAATTCATCACGCTGTACAAAGAGCTTGTGGATGACGAGTCTAAATTTCATAAATACTTTAGAATGAGTATGTACAGTTTTGAAAAACTACTGAATACAGTTGAAAGTGAAATTCAACGGCAAAATACACGCTTTAGAAAATGTATATCACCTAGACAACGATTAGCTGTTACACTAAGGTATGACAATTAATTAAATTAAATTAAAAAAAAATAGACTGTCTAAAATATAGACGGAGATTTACACAACTTATTCGATCAATAACTTTATTTCTAACCAATTTTTTTGATATTTTTTTTTTTATATATAATATAACACAAATTTAAAAAAGTGTTAGTTTTTTTAAATACAATAATTGAGTTTTTTTTTATCTACGTGTTTTATAAAAAAAAATTCATTAGAAAAAGTTATTGCCAGGTCATGGGGTAATTAATGACATAAATATTTGGTAAGGTAAAAACTCGTTTCTTTATTTTTAAAAATACTTGATTAGATTACCGATTTTGTTTTAAGTTTACATTTATTTTTAATTATTAATTTTTTTAAATTTTTTAAATTATACTCAATTAATTTATTAATAGTTATCCTGCTTTAAAAATTTAAGTTAATAAAAAATGTTTATAGTCTGAAAAAATTATACATTGATAAAAATTAATATGTTAAGTATAAGAAATATTTATTTTTAATAACTTTCGTTATGGCCCACATTATGAGTGCTGGGCCCAGCAATTGTTGAATCACGACTATGTTCCAATACTATGTCGGTCCCAACTGATGGATAATTATGAGATTCCATGTTACTTCCAGTGGATGGATAGTTATGGTTCCAAATAGGGTGTACATAGTTCGATGCAATATTTTGAGAAAACGAGTTTTGTTTTCTCATAATTTGCTGCATTTCCATATCTTGAACATTGTTAAACATTTTTGACTTGACCAAGTTCAAAAAATACGGGTCAAATGACTTCAAAGTACTTCCAATGCTTAGTAGAAATGCATCCACATGATCGGGATTTTCTTTTACGTGAGTATTTTTTTTTGATTCTAATAAATATTTCATCACCGTCGATGAAGCCGTCTCTGTTGTTGTTTTATTATTTTTTTTTTTAATATTTTATTGTTACATAAGTTTTCAACATGCTATGATGTTTGACCTGTAGATTCATTCAAACCTTGACTAGAAGATTGATCTTCATTCTCATCTTCTTCTTCTTCTTCTTCTCCTCCTTCTGTTCTGTTTTCTTCATTATCAATACTTGAAATAGTGGGCCTTTCTTGAAAGTAGGGTGTTAAAAAACTCAGTTGCTCCTGGAATTTATATTTTGAAATTTTTTTTGCTGCCTGTCCCGATGAAGTTTTTGTTTTATTCATAATTTTACGATATTGGTCACGAATATTTACCCATTTTGTTTTGCATACTGAAGCTAAAAAATATTTATATACATCTATTACCTATATTATATTCATAAGTATTATACGAGTAATATAATAAATTAAAATTAAAATATATTAATAAAGATTTAAAAAAAAATTAATGCATTTGATTTTTAAAATATGTTAATTTTGCAAATTGTTTTCTAAATTTTAACTAAAATAACTATACCACAAAAACACCTAAAAAACATTGAAAAACAGCAAATTGTAAACATTCTTAAAATCAGAAATCACTTTTTTCAACATGTGTTAGTGTTTTAGCTCAACATTTTCTACCTTAATATAAGCTCTAGTTTTTATTACGCTGAAAGATTAAATATGATGGTATTTTTATTTTAAGTTTTATAAAAATCGATTGAATAGTTTTTTTTTATATTAAACTTAAAAAAAACACGTAAAACCAACATTTTACCAAATTTGCAGATATTTTTTTATAGCCCCTGGTGTAAATAAAATATATTTATTTATATTAAATGAGTTTCCTCGGTTTTATTTTTTGAATTGAATTTTTTTCAAAATAATAAAAAAATATTGCCCATCCAACATGCAAAGTTGGTATTATGTTTGACTAGATTTTTAATTTAAGTGCCCATTTATTATCATTGAATTAATAAAAATTATTTAAATTATATGATATAAATATTTTTATTAGGTACTTGGCAACAGGAGATTCCCTAAAAACAATATCTTTCAGTTATCGTCTGGGTCATTCGACAGTTTATACAATTGTTATTGATACATGTAAGGCTATCATAAATAAATTAATGACTGAAGTTATGCCAATGCCCACGGAAAAAAAATGGAAAGAAATTGCCGATAAATTTTGGACATATTGGAACTTTCCAAACGTCATCGGGGCTTTGGACGGCAAACATATAGTTACTCAAGCTTTACCAAATAGCGGATCACTATACTTTAACTATAAGAAGACATTTTCAATTGTGCTTTTAGCTCTCGTTGACGCACACTATAATTTTATCACAGTTGATGTAGGTGCCTACGGAAAGAATAGCGATGGTGGTATACTTATGCACTCAAAATTAGGTAAAATGCTTGAAACAAACACTCTCAATATACCACCCAATTCAATACTTCCAGGAACAAATTGTAGTGCTCCATTTGTAATATTAGGTGATGAAGCATTTCCTTTAAAAAATTATTTACTACGACCCTATCCCGGAAAACAGTTGGATAACGAAAACAAACGAATTTATAATTATAGACACTGCCGCACAAGAAGAGTAGTCGAAAACGCATTCGGCCTTTTAACACAAAAATTTCGAATATTTAATGGAAGAATACAAGCAAACCCAGAAAACGCCGATATAATTGTGTTAGCTTCGTGTGTATTACACAATTTTATAAAAATAAGTGATAGTAACTTTTCATACAATCGCAATGTCACTGAATGTACACAGTTAAATGAAACTACTACGTCTACGTTAAATAACATACCGTTCCAAGGTGGAAATGCTAGTCAACAGGCATTTAATGTGAGAGAACTTTTTACTGATTTTTTCAATTCACCAGATGGAGCAGTTTCATGGCAACATAACTATATTTAATATAAACTAAATTTTATCTTATACCTATATGAGTATATAGAATTATATTATAATATGTACATCAAGGTAGATTTATAGATTTTAATTTTTTATTATAACTATTAATTATACAATTATTATAATGTGTAGAGAAACTATTAAAGTTTTAAAATAACTGTATAAATATAATATAATATTGCTTGCCATATTTCGTTTTCTACAAATTTAAACTTTCCAATATTTCTAAGTACTTTTTATATAAAATCATATTATATTTGTAACAACATAATTATTAATCACGGTTTTAAATCATGTATGAGTTAAAATTTATAACAGTATTCATCTGTAAATATGTACCTAGTTGGTTAAGTTCTTCTCCTATAATTTTCCAAGTTTTTTCTTTCCAAGCGCTATCGCTATATTTGCGATCACTCAAATCATAAAGCCCAGAGTGGGCCCGAACACATTCAATTAACTTTTCCTTATCCATAATGTAACTTAATAATTATGTATTAAATAATTATAAATATAAATATAATTAATAAACAATTAATTAATATTCATAATTTAATTTAATTAAAATTTAAATAATATAAAATATGTACACTGGTTGTAGCCTGTAAGTACCTTGTACGTTCAACGCTGAAAATAAAATTGTGATTATATGAACAAATAATATGTTTTTGACTACATGCGGTCCGCCGAATGCCGATTCTCATAAATCCACGTGTCCTGTCACACACGATTGCGCGTTTTTCAGCATCACATCCAGTCACCGTCAAAAACCAGCAATGGACACCTCCAAGGTTGTGGAGATGCTGGAGAAAGTCAAGGAGGCGGTCACGGTGCAAGGATCGATGGGGAACTGTCGCACAGCGGACGACGTCCGGAAGGCGGGAGTCGCTCAACTGCGGGCTGAGCCACTACTCTGGGCAGCTTACTGTCGGGGGTGGGCGGACCAGACCACCGATTTGGTGAGGTCCCTCGGCTCCTCGACGGTGAAGTCACCGGCCACTCCACCAACGCCGAAACCACCGGGTCCTAACCACCAATGGGGTCGGGGTGTGCTACACCAGCAATCAGCGCAGCACCGGCCGTCCGTACAACACCAACAACACGCGGCGCCAAACAGAGCACAACCCCACCACGGTAAGACACCAGCTCCGTACGGCCATAGCGGAACGTGACGTGGGTGAGACCGACTCCGGGACGTCCGTTAGTGCCCAGGATGCCACCGGCGGACCCGCACCCACCGACGACGGAGTGGACGGGGATGCCGAGCCGCGTGGCATACGTGGACCGCCTGCCGACGCCATCACCTGCACCTCCATCCGACAAGCCAGGACCACTGGAGCCCTGGCCAAAGCCCGCGAAGCCAGCCACACCGGCAACATCCAAGCGGTCGGCAGAACGGGCCAAGGAGCTGATGGGAGAGAACACCAGCGGCAGAGGAGACTGCGGGCAAATGCCGAGAGGGAAGACCCGAGTCAGCAGTACCGGCTGACGAAGGCGACTCCCTCGGCAGGGCCGACCACCGACCCGGAAGGTCGGGAGACGGTGCAAGTGTCAGCACCGGTACCAGGTAGTTCCGCCCAAGAACACCGACCGGAGCAAGACACCAACCCGGGGGAGGCGATGGAGGTCGATGACCGAATCCTTGACGAACCCGGGTCACCACTCCCAACATTCCCGAACATCGAGGAAGGCCCGCCCGTGTTCTCCACGCCACTTACGTCCCCCAGGGCGGACTAGACACCACGGCTGGATACGACCCGTCTACCATAGACTGGACATCGTCTCCACGCCTCGGCGTCGTCCTCACCACGCCTGGGGGACACCACAACGGAGGTACAGTTAGTCGGTAACCCGACCCAATAAGTCCGGACATCGCCGACGGACGAACCTCCATAACAGTCACGGGGAAATAGCGTAACAAACTGGAGCAGTACCGCGACTGGCGGTTTGGCGGGGGAGTATGACGCGGACCCGTGCGGCAGCCGTTACCGAAACGGCAGTCGCCGACCGTGTGCTTATCTCTCTCATCAACCACCACTTTGCGGCACGCAACGTCGCAGCGATACCCCGTCCACCCATCTATCACCGGACAGGGGACGCGAGCGGTCGCTACGACGTCCGAGAGGTACCACCACGTAACCGGGCTGTTTTTCCGATACCGTGTACGGATACACATCTCGTCTCGTGTTTCTCTTACTTTTCTTTATGTGCTCTCTTTTGTTTTTACGAACCAAACGTTTGTAAGTCACATTAACGAATTGATTATTGTTAATTTTCACTATATTCATTATATATATACATACATTTATTCAGTGTCATTTTTATTAATACAATTTTTTTCCTATAACGGTGTCCACCGCACCCACGACACATGCGCACCCACCACCATCACCTGTGTGCCGCGTCACACCTATATCACAAAAAATTATAATTACACTATATGAAGTACCTACTAAACTATATGTATTTAGATATTTGCTATGACTTAAAAAACCTCTATTAAGTGACCATCTATACTATTAAATTCTTTGGTCACTTTTTCCCATGCAGATCTCTTAACAGCTATCCCCTTGTTATCTGTGGCTTTTCCAGTAAGCATTGGATACCAACTAAGAATTTTCATCCAATCCCTTCTCTCTTCAGCTTTATAATTTACTCGTTTTCTGGAATACAAAGTTTGTTTTCGTTTTTATTACATTTTATTCAAATGTCCTATCCTCGTTTTGTTGACTTTTTTTTAACATTATACTTACTTAGTTTGATTTTCACAAGACATTTTATAACAGTTGATGGTAAATTCAAATGAAACAGTTAATACGGGTATATTATAATATTATTATTATTTTAATTTTATTTTATATTTTTATATATAATATTATTTATATTAATAAGTTATAATAATAAAACTTAAATATAGAATTATTATGCGCGGGACAATAAACAATGTGGCTTGATTAAAGCATTAGGCTTTGATTGGTCAGTATCTTATTACACAACTTGACAACAATGTATATCAGTATACTCAAAAGTTCACTTAAGTAATGTTTAAAAATATAGGCTAAGTTTACCTTAAGTGATATGTAATTTTAAGTAATTTTTAAAAATTTCGTCATTTACTTAAGTGTACTTAATATTACACTTAACTTAAAATTAAATAAAAGATAAGTTTTGTTTGAAAATACGACCGTTAGGCTATCTAGTTCTCTCAAAGCTATATATTGCTCCCTTGTACGACCTCTTTTAGAATATTCTTCCTTTTTTTGGGACCCTTTTACGGCAGCAGACTCTTCTTGCATTGAGAGGTGTGTAATTTCTTAGTACTTAATCTGTTATTACTTACTACTGTTTTTCCTTGTTTACTTTTGCTTTTATTTTTATTTGTAAATAATCGCCGTATTGTTTGGCGTTTATCTATTAATTGTTATAATATTCATTATCATTACTACAAATTGTGTTGTACTATTGGGCTCCTTATTGTAGCCCGTTCATTCATATAAATAAATAAAAATAAATAAATAAATAAAAACATATATTATCAACAATTTTCATTAGTTTCATTAGTTTATGTTATAACAAGGTATCAGGTGATGATGGTGTGGTTGCAGAATTGTTAAAGAGAGGAGGAGTACCGCTAAGAAAGAAGTTAACAGAAATCATTAGGTGTGTATGGAGAGAAGAAAAAATCCCAGACTATTGGAACACGGCTATAATTTGTCCTGTATATAAAAAAGGAAACCCGACAGTAACGGAGAACTATAGAGGTATCTCTTTACTTGACGTAGGCTATAAAGTACTAACAACGGTAATCTTAGAAAGAATAAACATATATGCCAAAGACATTATCGGAAATTACCAATGCGGTTTTAGAAAAGGTAAGTCAACCACCGACCACATCTTCGTGATAAGACAAGTGATGGAAAAATATTATGAATTCAATGTAGAACTACATATACTATTTATCGACTTCAGAGAAGCTTATGATAGTATAAACAGAAGGGAACTATGGAAAGGTTTAGAACTACTCGGAATACCAAAGAAGTATATAAATCTCGTTAAAATGTGTAATGAGAAGACAATCTGTAAAATACGCTACTTACAAAATTACTCGGAAACATTCGAGGTAAAATCTGGTCTACGCCAAGGTGACGCCCTCTCTCCTACATTATTCAATCTAGCTCTGGAAAAAATAATAAGAGATACAAACGAAGAACGGAACATGGACATAATTGGGGAGTCGGTAATTTTAGCCTATGCAGATGATATTGTAGTATTAGGGAAGACGAAAGAAGAAATTATTCAAACAACCGAGAAACTGGTCAAGAAAAGTAAGTCGATGGGCCTATGTATAAATGAAAATAAAACCAAGTATATGTTGATGTCAAGAAATAATCAGAATACAAACGATCTTTTAATTAGTAGCATGAAATTCGAAGCTGTAGATAATTTTAAATACCTTGGAGTAAATGTCAATAATAAGAATAATATGCATCAGGAAGTGAATGAAAGAATTATGAGTGGAAACAGGTGTTATTACAGCATAGTCAAAATACTAAAATTAAAATTACTTTCAAGGACATCAAAAATTCTTCTATATCATAGCTACTTGCGCCCAATTGTAACCTATGCTTGTGAGACCTGGTCCATAACAAAAGGCGATGAAAGGAAACTAATAATATTTGAGAGAAAAGTACTCCGTAATATCTATGGACCACGTTTCAACCAAGAGACCAATACCTACGAAAGAAGAACAAACGATGAATTACAGAAATTGTACAAAAGACCAAATATCCTAGCATTTATTAGAAACAAACGACTAGAGTGGTTTGGACACACTTGGAGAGCAGATGGTCTATTAATAAAAAAAGTACTTGTTGAAAAAATTAACAAAACAAGGCCCCTAGGAAGACCAAGAACCCGGTGGATAGATGTGATAACCAGAGACTTGAAAGAGATAGGCCAAAATGTAACTTTTGAGCTGACGTACAACAGAGAGAGATGGCGAGACCTCTTGAAGGCAGCAATGGTTCTTAACGGACCGGTAAGCTGAGAAGAAGAAGAAGTTTATGTTATAATATAATGGAAATTAATACATGCTCAAAATGTCTTTCTTTTTCAAAATTTCTTCTTTTTAAATACTACGTATTATAGACTTTTGTGTTTGGTAATTTATACGTTGTATTAATTGCAGCTAATATTATATATTATATTAAAGTTATCATGTTTTGAAACTGTTTATTTTAAGTATATTATTGTAATTGTTATATTAGTTTTGATTACCTGTTTTTATGGATGTTCACTTTCTCTGGGTATTCATTTAGTGCAAATGAATAGAACTCTGAATATGCATCTGTTTCAATGAATAAGTGAGAGTTCAATTCTTTTGCAGTTTTCATGATACCCGTAACGCTATGTCCTAACTGAATCCGTGCGTTGCGTGCGTTGCGTGTATTGCGGGCGATGCGTGCACGCAAATAAAACCAACTGCAACAAAGTACGAACATGTCCTAACTGGCCGTAACATGCGTGCGATGCGTTTTAACGCACCGCACAAAATAGAGCTTGTTCTATTTTCCAACGCAACGTTGTGCGTCAAGACACATTGTCAATTATTTAAATTTATTTTTTTTTGTATTTCAAAAATGGATGTTCTTATTTCCGAAGTACAAAAAAGATCAGTACTTTGGAATAAATGGGAACCAAAATTTAAAGATCGGGTAGTGGCAGACAGGCATTGGGATTCTGTATCCAAAGAACTTGGAATGTCAAGTAAGTTTAAAAGTTTAAAATTGTATACTGAATATACTAGCTAAAGAAATATATTATTATTACAATATTACAATATTATTATTTATTATATAATATATTAATATTTTATGGAATAATGTAATCAGTAATATAATACAAAAATAAAATAATGATAGTAATAATATAATTAGTTCCTATAAGCAATACAAATTGGACAATTTGGTAGGTTAAAGTTCTATATCGTGGTAATTTATAATTTCCTTAAAATTTAGCGAAAAATTTTTTTTTATAATATACAACAATATTTATCGGTTATTTATTTATTACAATATATTACAATTTATTATTGGAAAAAAAAATGCTTAAATTACTTCTTATATTCTCTGCTGCTCTGGATGTTTTATTATTTCTCACAGTTACTGCTAAATCGCTGGATAAATTATTCGTTTGGTTTGATATATCAGAGTCCATATAATTTGTTGTTCCTTTTTTTTCCAAATCTATAATCACATTGTGCAGCATACATATTGCTTTTACAATGTGATTAGCATTGTCTACTTTTGTCTCTATAGACTTCTGCAAAATTCTAAATTTTGCTGCTGCTATACCGAAAGCACATTCTATTGTCATACGTGCTCTGGATAGTCTATAATTAAAGTAACTTTTATTTACATCATTTAGTAACCTTCTTGGGTATGGTCGCATCATGTATGTTCGTAAAGGAAATGCTTCATCAGCAATGAAAATATATGGACTAATTAAGTTCGAATTTGGTAGTTTTTTAGGATAAGGTAGCTTCAAAGTTCTATTTTCAAGACGTTTTAAAATATTTGAATTTGATAATATACCTCCATCGCTATCTTTTCCATAAGATCCGACGTCAATCATAATAAATTTATAATTTGCGTCTGCAACAGCCATCAAAACAATAGAGTAAAACTGTTTATAATTAAAAAACATACTACCGGATTTTTTTGGACATTTTATCCGAATATGTTTGCCGTCTATACTCCCAACACAATTTGGAAAGTTCCAATTTTCATCAAATTCTTGTGCAATTTTTTCGAAATCAGCTATCGTAGGTGTGGGCATATGTTTTTCTTTCAATATTTTCCAAATTGCTTTACAAATTTCGATTACAATTGAAGACACTGCTGTTTTTGAAATTCTAAAGGTTAAAGCAATTTGCCTAAAAGCTAAACCAGTAGCAAGGTATCTGTGCGGAAAAAAATTTGGAACATATCATATTGTATTTAAAATTTTAAAATTAAATAAATAAAATTTTAAAGTTTAACTAAATCGAATAATTCAATACTATAGGTAACCATAAATAGCCAAAAAAAACCTCAAAATCTTTCAAAAGTTATATCATGTATAGGTGATAATATATATATTATACTAAGATTCAATGTTGTAGAAAATTGGTATATTTGGTATACTAATTGTAATTCTAAAAATTATTGTTTTACACATTTCACACAATATTTAAATTTAATTTCCACAGAAGACGATGTTAAAAAAAAGTGGAGAAGTCTTAGAGATCAATTTTTAAAAGAATTTAAAAAAATCCCTTACAGTCGTTCAGGAAGTAGCCAAGAATATGCTGCGCTATATCAAGGCAGATGGAGCTATTTTCGTGCGATGTTATTTTTGAAGGACACTGTCACACTAAGAATAAGTGATGGAAATATATCCGATGTAGACGTAGATGAGGTTGAAGAAGACATCAATGAGGAACAAGACGAACTCGAGGATGTTGACCAGTCATTAGAACTAAATATTTCTACAAATGATTATAATACTTCATCACCCCCGTCAACTTCATTTACGACAACTAAAAAAAAAAATAAGAGATCAAAAAAACAAGAAACGGGTAATACTTTTGAACAACAACTGATTGATCTTGAAACTAGAAAACTAGCCGCATTAACTGAATCACCCGCTCCAGATGACGAAGATATGCATTTTTTTAAATCCATTCTTCCATATTTTAAAAAAATGAGCCCCATTCAAAAATTACGAGTGAGAAACGAGTTCCAAAATATTTTGATACGTGAAAGTGTACCACCACAGCAATACATCGGCACAACAAATTCACATAACCAAAATTACATTATTCCATCAGTCTCTACCGTACATCCAACATACACTTCCATACCACCATCTTTACCAAATTTCCACTATTCAGACGACACACATTCTAGTATTTAAAATTAAAATATATAATTAGTTATTTTTATAATTTCTTATTTTAAAAGTTAAAAAGTTTTTATTTTTTATTTACAATGTTAATTTAATACTGCTATACAGTTATTTTTTATAATTTCTTATTTTAAAAGTTAAAAGTTTTTATTTTTTATTTAATTATTATAATACTAATATAATACTGATATACAGGAATCTAGTTTAGTTTAATTAAATTAGTTTTATATTTTAATATATTATGTTATTGTTAATATAATATAAAAACTATTAATCATTTGATTTATTATTTATTAAACTAATGTGCTTACCTTAAAGTAATAATCAGTCTCTCTTCCACAGAAATTGGTATTTTAAAATTGGTTGTTTTATGATAACATTCATTTTCAATTGCCTCTTTTATATAATCAAAAGTACTTGTACTCATTCGTGTGTAAGAACAGAATAAATTATCATCAGCACGTAGCTCTGAAAACAAATGATGAAACTCGCCAAAATCAAACCTATCTTTATAAATTTGATGCGGTGGTTTACGTTTGCGTTTTTTTTTCAAAATAAAAAGTTTAACCGCCAAACTTTCGGATAGTACAATTTTTCGTTGTTCGGAGGTTAACGACATGTTAACAACTGAAAATAAAATGTACAACTGCCTGCAACTTCACAACCTCTTGTATGTTGCACGTCTGAATTCATCGACGTCAATTTTGCCAACAAAATGTTGCGTTGCGTGCGTTGCGTTGCGGGCGAACGTATAAACGCAACGCACGGATTCAGTAAGGACAAGGCGTAACACACTGAACAATCTGAACTTATTGACTTTAAATATTCGTATAATTCATCTTCTATTGTTTTGAACCCATTAGTAATATTTAATATAATTGTTGCGTTATGAAATTGTTTATTTGTGGTACAATTAGAGCAAGTTTTTGTTTCATATGCCGTACATCAATCAAATATTTTGAAATTAAATAATTGACATTTCACTTTGCATTAATAAGATTTATATCAGTTACTCCAGAATCAACGTCAAAAATGTTTTATAGAATAGTAACTCTTTGTTTGTAAATTGAACGAGAAGTCCCTTTTAAAGCTAGTGTTTTACAAAATTGTAGAAAACAATTATTTGATGTATCAACAAAATGTTGGTAGTTAAATATATCTAGATAATCTGTATAAGTTACAAATAAACTGAAAGAGTGGGCATGTATTTTGTACTAAATATCGTTTTTTGGATACAATTATTGGTGTAGTTAAGTTTCTATTTATTAGCAAACTGTTTAACGTCGATCGAGTTTTCACGGTATACAAAATATGCTCAATATATTTTTTTGAACCCATATATTTGGTTTGCCTTGGTTTTTTTATATTAGTTTTTTTTTTTTTTTGGAAATAACTTTTTCACGATACTTTTTCTTTTCTATTTTTCATATGCAGTTATTGATTTTTCCGATTCATCACATGACAATTCAATGTCATGTTCTGTTTTATTATTTTGAATAACTTCATCAATATTTTCAATGGAAGAGTTTAAAGGATTCCTTATATATAATATTATTTGTCATCATTTCGAAACAAATTTTCACTCTCAGAAAGTTCATCATACTCTGACATTAGTAATTTTGATTCGAAATTTGACTCGTATCTAAGCTCCTTACTTTTAAAAAATTTCACATAACTGTCGATACTCGTAAGATGTTTGAGAATAAATTTATCAGCTCTCATTGGGCGAACATCGAATTTTAAAATTTGAGTTTCTAGCTCTTTGAAATCGTTCTCAACCGGTGCTGATAGTGCAATATGATATGGAGACCGAAACAAATTACTCAAAACATTTGTCCAAATATGCTGATATCCTGTTTCCTGCTATTGAAAAATTTCTTTTGCTATTCTGCTTTATATTTTCTAAAAATATTTGTAAATGTGTGTTTTCAGTTCGGTAGTGACCGTTGATAATGAAACATCGCGCTGTCGTTATTACTTTCAATATTCAACAGTTACTTTATGTGATCATTACCGTTTTTATCCATTCAAAAACTAAATTACTCAAAAAAGTTTCAGCATTTCAAGATTTACGTCTACTCAAAATTCTGAAAAAAAAGGATTGCCATTATATCGACATTGGTAAATTATTTAATTAATTACAAAATAAAATTAATAAATAAATCGGCACTAGTTAGTACGACCGCGATGCGGCGGTCGTACATGACCGTTCCGTTTATCGATTTTATCATGCGATAACCGCTTTCGTCGCAGAAACATGCCTAAGAACTCTAAAACCGTCCCGCCACTAATAATATCAAAAAGTCGTATACAGAGTGTGCCAAATCTGTCTCCCGCTCACCCTCAAAACTCAATCGTAATGATGGAAATACCACTCCTACATCATCCAAACGACTTCATTCTCCACTCTCTTCATCAAATGCATCACACATCCGAATTGGTTCCCAATAAATACTTTCGAAAAAGATGAAATCCAATCTAATTATATTTATTATTTAAAATTATTATTTTACTAACATTTTGAAATTTCCCATCTTTATAAGTACCAAGGTGGATTGATAAGTACGAATTTCGGAATGGATAAGATGAAATAAATTGTCTTTTAGATAAAAATCGTGATAAAATGGGCGTTATATTATCGATATTGACGGATATCTAGTCGTACTTATAAGTCAGTACGGCATTCAGTAATCTGCCGTAATAACCGCATAGTGTTTGTATTAGTGATTGCATTTGTGTTTAAATCTTTTCGAATATGGAATTTATGTACAGTGAAAAAAATAAAAATATTATTGTATTTGAAGAATATAAATTTGGGTTTCAAAAAAAGTTGGCAGACGACATTGACCGTTGGACATGTGGAAAAAGAGCATGTAAATCGTATTTGAAAACAAATAATTTAAATACAATTGTTGATAAAATATAATACATAACCGTGAAAAAGACGACGAAAACAAACTTAACAGACAGAAATTAAGCAACATTTCAAAACGAAAAGTTCAAGATGCATTAAATGAGCAGCTAGCAAAAATTATTCGCTGTAAGTTAGCTAAATCCGATATTGAAACCATAGATGCTCAAGATGTACGTAGAATTAGAAAAAATATACATACTTGTCGATGTAGTACCCAAGTTGCCCAAAACATTGAGCGAGATTCAAAATATCTTAAATAATTATAATTTAATAACTAATCGTGGAGAAAATTTTTTATTTATTAACAGTGCTGAAACCAATATTATTGGTTTTTCATATGATAGCGATTTGGAAGTATTGCGTCAAATAAAATCTGTGTTTATTGACGGTACTTTTAAAAGTTGCCCAAAGCTTTTTTGCCAACTTTTTTCTATTCACGGTGTAAAAAATACGAGGTGTGATCAAAAAGTAAGGTGAATTTTAATTTTTTTCAAAAAATATTTTTTTTTTCATCAATTTCTATTTTGTCCCCTTCAAAGTAATCCCCCCCGGATACACTTGTGCCAACGCTTTTTCCAATCCTCAAAGCATTTCAAAAAATCATGTTTTGTGATATTGTTCAGCTCCTCCTTCGATGCCGTCTTTATCTCCTCAATCGTTGCAAAACGCCGTCCTTTCATGGGCTTCTTCAATTTCGGAAACAAGAAGAAGTCACAGGGGGCCAGGTCTGGGGAATACGGTGCCTGCGGCATCATTAGTGTGTTGGTTTTAGCCAAAAATTCGCGCACAAGCAACGATGTGTGAGCAGGGGCGTTATCATGGTGCAAAAGCCAATTTTTGTTCTTCCATAATTCCGTGCGTTTCTGGCGGATTGCTTCGCATAACTTGCAGGTAATATTCCTTATTGACCATTCTACCCTGTGGTAAGAATTCATGATGCACCACGCCTCTGTAATCGAAAAAAACTGTAAGTAAAACCTTCACATTTGATCGAACTTGGCGTGCTTTTTTTGGTCTTGGTGATTCAGAATGAGACACGCGTCTCATGCCCAAAACACCCATTAAAATTACTTGGCACGAACCAAACGAGATGTCATCAGCAATTTCTCTAATGGTACTTCGACGATTTCCCAACACTATTTTCTTCACTTCTTCAACGTTCTAATCAGTTGTTGACGTGCTGGGGCGTCCAGAGCGAGGTTCGCCATTGGTATCTTCTCGACCTTCTTGGAAGAGTTTATACCACTTGTAAACATTTTTTTGGCTTAAAGTAGACTCACCGTATGCCACTTTTAACATTTTCAGTGTTTCGGAGCACTTGATTCCATTTTTTACACAAAATTTAATGCAAACTCTTTGATCCATGTTTTTCGACTGCAGAAAATCGTGGAGCACGCAAAACACTTCTAACCTTTATCCCTCTCACAAACAAACTAAACATGCTATACAGCTGAAATTTTGTACAGATGTTTGGGACGAGGGTACCAACATAACAAAATAAAATAATCGAAGATCGAACGGATAAAGCCCGCTAAATTTGAAAATTGACCTTACTTTTTGATCACACCTCGTAATTACTACGTTCCTCTAGTTTTCTTTTTATTTCCAAATAAAACGAGTGATACGCATACAAAAGCTTTCCGTTTAATTCAAAATTATTTAAACCCCAATGAAATATATGTGGATTTTGAAAGAGCCATTCATGTAGTGATCTCCGAAGTATGGCCTTTAGCCCAATTAAAAGGTTGTCGGTTTCACTTGAGTCAATCATAGTGGAGGAAGGTACAACAATTAGGGCTTTCAAACGAATTTAAAAATAATGATTCCAAAATAGAACAAACATTAAAATTGTTTTTTGGCTTATCTTTGTTATCACCCGAAGAAGTTAACGATTGATTTACTAATGATTTGATATCATTAAAACTTAAAATGAATGGAAAACTTGAAGAATTCTTTGATTACATATTAGAAAATTATATTGAAAATTATAGCTTATTTCCACCATCAATGAGGGCTGAATATACTAGTAGTATAGAACAAACAACTAATTGTTGTGAATAATTTCACAGCAAGTTCAACAGTTGCTTTTATTCCG